GGATGGAAGTGACTGGTAGTGTGACCACAGGGGATGGAAGTGACTGGTAGTGACCACAGGGGATGGAAGTGACTGGTAGTATGACCACAGGGGATGGAAGTGACTGGTAGTGACCACAGGGGATGGAAGTGACTGGTAGTATGACCACAGGGGATGGAAGTTACTGGTAGTGTAACCACGGGGGATGAATAGAGGTTTGGTGTTGTGAACAGTGGAAAGGGGAGGGTTGGCGGTGTGAGCAGGAGTGGGGAGGGTTGGCGGTGTGAGCAGGAGTGGGGAGGGTTGGCGGTGTGAGCAGGAGTGGGAGGGTTGGCGGTGTGAGCAGGAGTGGGGAGGGTTGGCGGTGTGAGCAGGAGTGGGGAGGGTTGGCGGTGTGAGCAGGAGTGGGGAGGGTTGGCGGTGTGAGCAGGAGTGGGGAGGGTTGGCAGTGTGAGCAGGAGTGGGGAGGGTGGCGGTGTGAGCAGGAGTGGGGAGGGTTGGCGGTGTGAGCAGGAGTGGGGAGGGTTTGGCGGTGTGAGCAGGAGTGGGGAGGGTTGGCGGTGTGAGCAGGAGTGGGGAGGGTTGGCGGTGTGAGCAGGAGTGGGGAGGGTTGGCGGTGTGAGCAGGAGTGGGGAGGGTTGGCGGTGTGAGCAGGAGTGGGGAGGGTTGGCGGTGTGAGCAGGAGTGGGGAGGGTTGGCGGTGTGAGCAGGAGTGGGAGGGTTGGCGGTGTGAGCAGGAGTGGGGAGGGTTGGCGGTGTGAGCAGGAGTGGGAGGGTTGGCGGTGTGAGCAGGGAGTGGGGAGGGTTGGCGGTGTGAGCAGGAGTGGGAGGGTTGGCGGTGTGAGCAGGAGTGGGGAGGGTTGGCGGTGTGAGCAGGAGTTGGAGGGGAAGAGGGTTGGCGGTGTGAGCAGGAGTTGGAGGGGAAAGAGGGTTGGCGGTGTGAGCAGGAGTTGGAGGGAAGAGGGTTGGCGGTGTGAGCAGGAGTTGGAGGGGAAGAGGGTTGGCGGTGTGAGCAGGAGTTGGAGGGGAAGAGGGTTGGCGGTGTGAGCAGGAGTTGGAGGGGAAGAGGGTTGGCGGTGTGAGCAGGAGTTGGAGGGAAGAGGGTTGGCGGTGTGAGCAGGAGTTGGAGGGGAAGAGGGTTGGCGGTGTGAGCAGGAGTTGGAGGGGAAGAGGGTTGGCGGTGTGAGCAGGAGTTGGGAGGGGAAGAGGGTTGGCGGTGTGAGCAGGAGTTGGAGGGGAAGAGGGTTGGCGGTGTGAGCAGGAGTTGGAGGGGAAGAGGGTTGGCGGTGGTGAGCAGGAGTTGGAGGGGAAGAGGGTTGGCGGTGTGAGCAGGAGTTGGAGGGGAAGAGGGTTGGCGGTGTGAGCAGGAGTTGGAGGGGAAGAGGGTTGGCGGTGTGAGCAGGAGTTGGAGGGGAAGAGGGTTGGCGGTGTGAGCAGGAGTTGGAGGGGAAGAGGGTTGGCGGTGTGAGCAGGAGTTGGAGGGGAAGAGGGTTGGCGGTGTGAGCAGGAGTTGGAGGGGAAGAGGGTTGCGGCTGTGAGCAGGAGTTGGAGGGGAAGAGGGTTGGCGGTGTGAGCAGGAGTTGGAGGGGAAGAGGGTTGGCGGTGTGAGCAGGAGTTGGAGGGGAAGAGGTTGGCGGTGTGAGCAGGAGTTGGAGGGGAAGAGGGTTGGCGGTGTGAGCAGGAGTTGGAGGGGAAGAGGGTTGGCGGTGTGAGCAGAGTTGGAGGGGAAGAGGGTTGGCGGTGTGAGCAGGAGTTGGAGGGGAAGAGGGTTGGCGGTGTGAGCAGGAGTTGGAGGGGAAGAGGGTTGGCGGTGTGAGCAGAGTTGGAGGGAAGAGGGTTGGCGGTGTGAGCAGGAGTTGGAGGGGAAGAGGTTGGCGGTGTGAGCAGGAGTTGGAGGGGAAGAGGGTTGGCGGTGTGAGCAGGAGTTGGAGGGAAGAGGGTTGGCGGTGTGAGCAGGAGTTGGAGGGGAAGAGGGTTGGCGGTGTGAGCTGCCGTAGGAAGGGGTCAGCAGTTGGATGGGGGGGGGGGAAGGGTTGGTGTAAGCAACAGTGGGATCAGATATAAGGGGATTGTGGTAAACAGATGTCTGGTGTCACTATGGTGACAGGTTTAGGTTCAGGCAAGAGTAATGAGCAGGTTTGGTAATAATAGTTGTCCTGTATGTCAATGTTTGAATGATGCAGGTGTTGAGCATGTTCTCTGTTCTCCACTTTGGATTTAATGTTTGTTTCTTATCCAGAAAAGTGCAGTAATATTTAAATATTTGCTCAGCTACATAATCATTATTTGGTTTTGATCTCAAATTTTCTTTGAGAAGTACAGTACGTACTGAAGTGCTAGGGCTTACAGAAAACTCCCCTTTTTATTGATGCTTTCCTACTGATTTAAACACCATCAACCCAGTCATTTCAGCTCATTAAAATTTCCAAATTTGCTGAATGCACTTGAGCTATGCATCATGGTTGGTTAACCCTTTGACTGTCGCGGCCGTATATATACGTCTTACGAGGTACCGTGTTTGACGTATATATACTCATAAATCTAGCGGCTTCAAATCAAGCAGGAGAAAGCTGGTAGGCCCACATGTGAGAGAATGGGTCTGTGTGATCAGTGTGCACCATATAAAAAAAATCCTGGAGCACGCAGTGCATAATGAGAAAAAAAAACTCCGACCGATTTTTTAATTAAAATGCCGACTTTGTGATCTATTTCGTATAGTATTTATGGTTGTATTCTCGTTTATCTTGGTCTCATTTGATAGAATGGAAAACATATTATAGAAATAGAGGTGATTTTGATGATTTTACTATAAAAAGAACCTAGAAATGGAGCTCAAATAGGGGAAATGTTTTGATTTTTGCCAATGTTCAAAAGTAAACAAATGATGCCATTGTCCAATAAATGTCCAACTAGCCATTCTAATATGCAGTCATGAATGGTTGATGTTTATTTATACAATTATTATAGTATTGCAGTAGTCTGCATAATAGTAAGTCTTCTATATTTTGTTTGAATAAAAATTCAAATAGAAAGCAAGAGTAATATCGGAGGGGCCTGGAGACATGACTGATGAGCAAAGAAAATGTTATTTTAAGAGCCAGGGATGTCTGCATTGTTTCATTCTGGACCTTATTTTGATGTCATATTTTTAGTTTTCGTGAAATTGGCCAAATTGCAAACTTCTGACCACATTATTAGGTAGTTGAAATCGTAAATGGGCAGTTTCTTGTACTCAATCAATAGAAAAAATGGAGTTCTAAAGAAATAGCTATGAGTTTGGGCGACTGGAACAATGGAATTAGCCGAAAATAGGGCTCAAAATGGGCGAAATCGCCGATTTGTAAACAGTGCCGAGGTCGCTAACTTCGCGAGAGCATAATTCCGTCAGTTTTCCATCAAATTTCGTTTTTTTTGGTGTCATTACAATCGGGAAAAGATTCTCTATCATTTCATAAGAAAAAATAATTTTTTTTTTTTTTTAAATTTTGCGACACCAGGAGACACCTCAGGATTGGGGGTTGCGACAGTCAAAGGGTTAATTTTAACTGTTACATATCACTTGTGACAAAACAGCTAATTACTGTTTTTGATGTAAATAGTACAGTAATTCATGAAAAATGATGAAAACCATCCTAAGTATTCCACTGTGGTGTAGCATTACTAAGCATTTTGAGATAAAAGCAGATACAATATTTGTATGAAATTACTTTACCAAGTCAATTGTATCTTGCCTATTACAAATCAGTCCCTTGGCAGTCCTTTTCTGAGATGCAAGATATATTGTAATTTCTCTTATGTAACTCCTAAGTAGATAATATTTACATAAATACCTGCTGTACTTTTAGTGCAGTGCTGCCCATTTACACCCCTGCCTTTATTTAAAAACTATGAAAGCAATTTAATTGAAATAATCATGGGCCATGTTTTTTCCTGAATTTGGCTGTACTCATTCATTCTAATGAGGACATTAGAGCACTCCAGGATGATTTGAATAGACTGACGCAATGGTCAGAGAAGTGGCAGATCAGTTTAATATTGACAAATGCAAAGTTCTAAATGTTGGACAGTTAAATAACCATGCCACGTATAAACTAAATAATGTAGATCTTAATACTACCGATTGCAAAAAGGATTTAAGAGTTCTGGTTAGCAGTAACCTAAAACCAAGACAACAGTGAAATTAGTGTTCGGAATAAAGCTAACAGAATTCTTGGCTTCATATCTAGAAGTATAAATAATAGAAGTCCTCAGGTTGTTCTTCAACTCTGTATATCCTTGGCTAGGCCTCATTTAGACTAATGCTGCTCAGTTCTGGTAACCGTATTACAGAATGGATATAAATGCTCTGGAAAACGCACAAAGGAGGATGACAAAGATGATCCCATGTATCAGAAATCTTTCCTATGAGGATAGACTGAGGGCCCTGAATCTGCACTCTCTCGAAAGGCATAGAATTAGGGGGGATATGATAGAGGTGTATAAATGGAAAACAGGAATAAATAAAGGGGATGTAAATAGTGTGCTGAAAATTTCCAGCCAAGACAGGACTCGCAGCAATGGTTTCAAGTTGGAAAAATTCAGATTCAGGAAGGATATAGGAAAGTACTGGTTTGGTAATAGAGTTGTGGATGAGTGGAACAAGCTCCCGAGTACAGTTATTGAGGCTAAAACGTTATGTAGTTTTAAAAATAGGTTAGATAAATACATGAGTGGGTGTGGGTGGGTGTGAGTTGGACCTGACTAGCTTGTGCTGCTGGGTCTGGTACAGTGCTCCATCCTTGAGTTGGGATGACCAGACTGGGTGGGTCATTGGGATAATCCGGGGGGGGGGGGACATGGACCTGCTCCGCATGGGTCAGTAGGCCTGTTGCAGTGTTCCTTCTTATGTTCTCATAGCAGATGTTCTGTATATTCAGTGTAAGACCAAATCAAATTAATTTGTGTATTTTTTGTTTCATCCTAATAAATTATGTTATTTATGAGTGGAGTGATGCAATATTAATGTGTTGTTGTTGTTGCAGCTGAAGAAGTGAGCTACAATGCTGTCACTCCTGACAGTGGTGTCCATGAGACCTTCAATGCACTCTCCCCTGAAGAACAGGAAAAACAGAGAGAAGAATGGAAGTCTGAACTAATCAAGGTACTGTATTCGCATAACTTACTGCTTCACCTGTCATACACTCGTGTTGCATTTATTTAAACAACGTATAAAATTTTCTTGCACTTTAGTTAATGCTTTAGCAAACAATGGCATCACATTGGCAACTATACTACCCGTAAATGTTGTGCTATCTTTGCCTTTCAGTAATAAAAATGTTAGGAGAGGACGTTGTATTAATGTGGGAGACAGTCTGATATCAATAATTTGTGTACAGTAGGGCCCCACTTATATGGCAGGTTAGGTTCCAGGCTACTGCCGTAAAGCGGAAATCGCCGTAAAGTGGAACACCCTTTTTTATCCACTTAAAAATTCATGTAAATAACTAGATAACAAGTTGACACTAACATATTAAGTTAGTTATAGAACTAGGCATTAAATACCAGTAAAAAAGTAAAATGCACATATAGTACAGTGGACCCCTGACCGTTCCTGAGAGCACATCGTAAGATGAAATGATCGTAGGTTGAATTAATTTTCCCCATAAGAAATAATGGAAACCAAATTAATCCATTCAAGACACACAAAAGTATGAGAAAAAATTTTTACCACATGAAATATACATTTTCCTACACATAAAAAGAAGGATATGTGCACAATAGTAGAGTAGTACATGCACAATATATATTGTGCATGTGCTACTCTACTAAATGACACTTACCTCTATTGAAGATGTAGCAATGACTGATGAGACACTGTGTCCTGGGAGTGCCTTTTCCTCCTGAGTACTGTAGGTCCTCTTTGGCATTTTCTTCCAGAACATGCCTTATCACACTGTATGCCACTATGATTCTTAAATCTCTCAAACCAACCTTTTCTGGCCTAAAATTCACCAATATGGGCACTAGTTCCAGGCATTTTTTCCTGTTCACCTGGATGTTAGTCGACTGGTGTGGGTCGCATCCTGGGAGACGAGGTTAAGGACCCCAATGGAAATAAGTTACAGTCCTCGATGACACACTTGACTTTCTTGGGTTATCCTGGGTGGCTAACCCTCAGGGTTAATTGTTTCTTTGTCATGTAGGGGGTATCGGAATGAATAGGATATAAGTGGGGAATATGGGAGTAAGGGATTATGTAGGCAGGGGAGAGGCAGGCGAGGTGGTAGGAGTGAGATGATTAGCGGAGGTAGGTAGGTAATGACAGGTCAGTGGTGACCACCACGACACTCTCATTAACTCTACACTACTCACTAACATATGCCTCGCCCACTCTTCACTCATATATAAACATAATAACATATAAGAAAAAAGAATAAATAACGGGACAGTGAATTTACTATTCTACTCACACGGTTTATTATTAAGTCTTTGTACAATAATATATTTGGGATCAGGAGAACATCATTGGTTTAGATAAATGGGATGGTATGTATAAGCAGTGAGACAGGGAACACAATCAACTTGACCAAAATGAATGTAACTTACAATATAGTACAGAGGACAGTTCACTACAGGAACTAAGCCACAGGTCCCAAGACCTACACAGCACGAGTACTGCGCCAAGCCAGTACTCTGCCCAATGCCTCCAACAGTCTCCTCCAGAGATTTCAGCAGCCTCTCCCCCGAGCCCTGCACTCCCAGCAGCAGCTCCGCTCGAAGTCTCTGCTCAGGAGCTCTGCACCCCAGCAGCAGCTCTGCTCGAATCTCTCTACTCAGCTCTTCCATGGGCTTTTATGGTGGTCCAAGCACCCTCCACAACCACGTGTACGACCTGACGCCTAGGTCTGACGCTGTCAAGAACAAAAGACCTCGGACGTGGGCGTGGCTACAGACTTTTGCCAAGGCAAGGTGTGACCATATAATTGGATAAATTAGTCTCCCCAGAGACCTCAGAAGCCCAGCTGAACTACATCACATCCCCCTTTCTCCCCCAATTTAAAATATCTGAGAACTAGAACAATTTGTCCTAGTTATTAGACTATTTTAATCCTAATCCCTTAAATCTATTACAATACAAAGACAAAATTATACATAATACAAAATTATTCAACTACATATATTTCCCTCAACCTTCTCATCTACCACAAGGCAGCATAATCAGTACACCTGGCAGTTGACCAGCATAACAGTTGCTCTCTGGTGCAAAGCCTCCTTACCCGTCATTTCTCCTTAAACCTAAATATCGGGCTCCAGTGCCTTCCCTACTTCTACTAAAATGCACTAGCCAATGCTAGTCACCCTCGCACGTTAACCATTGGGCCAAACCTCTCTAGGCTTCTATGGCGTGGAAAACTGCTCCAACGGTTGCATTCTTCAAGTAACTGCAACTGGACCACTTCACGACCACCAAGGTCGCATTTTCGGCACACTTCACATGCACACTACAACATCTGAAAATCGAGACAGGGCAGGCATCGCAGCTAAGACCCTCCATTATCTTATGCCACTACTAGGATTCACTGGCCTCATAAAACAAGGCGGCCATAATCACTGGACCGTTTTCAAGGTCACCTTATTTCACACAGGTAACGCTAACACTTCTGGCAAGTCAAAGTAGGCTGGGACATCTCACACTCTTAATGTCTCTCATGGCTGGCAGGCATCCCCGCATACCTGTCGCACAGGTCGACCAGCAAGGCAGGACACACCTCCATGCCGCCCTTGAAAGCAGGCTGGGTCCCAGCAGCTGGAGTCCATCTCCGCGGCTCACGTCCTTCCACATATCCGAGGATGGCAACTCCTTCATAGTAGATTCTCCGTCCTGGCACACCAGCCAGAATCCCTCACACACCACTTGCAGCATCACCGCCATCTCCTCTTGAGCTAGGCAGCAATCGCAGCATCACAGCACGGCCACAGCATATCCATACATCACAGCATGGCCGTATCACAGCAGCACATAGCACGGCTGTATCACAGCAGCACACAGCACGGCCACAGCATCGCAAGCACGGCTACAGCATCGCAGCACGGTCCCAGCATCCACAGCACGGCCGCAGCGTCTCAACATCACAGCACGGCCGCAGCATCTCAACATCACAGCAGCACACAGCACGGCCACAGCATTGCAGCACGGCTACAGCATCTCAGCACGGCCACAGCATAGCAGCACGGCTACAGCATCTCAGCAGCATCACAGCAGCCGACATCAGCATTAGCAGGTTATGGTCAGTTGCTCGAGGTGAGGTGAGGTCACTTCAGGTCATCAACAGCAGGTGCGGTCACCCATCCCTGGCAACTGCGGGTAACTGGCGGTCCGTGGTGATGGTCACAGAGGCTGGGTGACGCAGACAGACACCCACTACACTGGATGACAGACCAGGGCAGCAATACATCTACTGGGGCACATCAGCTGGGTGACTGGGCATATCAGCTGGGTGACTGGCACATCAGGTGGACAGCAATCATAGGCAACTCTTCAATGGGTGACAGTTTGTGGGTAAGTCTTCCAAGGCGGCTGGGTGACTTCTCATTCCTCTGTAAATATTCAATTTCGGCCAGTAATTGCTTCCCACAAAAGTCTCACCCAAATACTGATATTCTCCACCATTTATCTCAAACCAATAACCAACTCCACCAAATATAATATACACACCCAACAATTATTAGACCCACCATCAAAAAAGGACAGTTAAGGTCACTAGGATTAATATCATACAGATATTCACTTTAGATTTTACACACAAAAAAAATAAGGCACCATGGGACTGGTTCCTACTATAAAAATAATAAGAACCACCACCGCTTAGACACCATGTCATGTAGGGGGTATCGGAATGAATAGGATATAAGTGGGGAATATGGGAGTAAGGGATTACGTAGGCAGGGGAGAGGCAGGCGAGGTGGTAGGAGTGAGATGATTAGCGGAGGTAGGTAGGTAATGACAGGTCAGTGGTGACCACCACGACACTCTCATTAACTCTACACTACTCACTAACATATGCCTCGCCCACTCTTCACTCATATATAAACATAATAACATATAAGAAAAAAGAATAAATAACGGGGACAGTGAATATTACTATTCTACTCAAACACGGTTTATTATTAAGTCTTTGTACAATAATATATTTGGGATCAGGAGAACATCATTGGTTTAGATAAATGGGATGGTATGTATAAGCAGCGAGACAGGGAACACAATCAACTTGACCAAAATGAATGTAACTTACAATATAGTACAGAGGACAGTTCACTACAGGAACTAAGCCACAGGTCCCAAGACCTACACAGCACGAGTACTGCGCCAAGCCAGTACTCTGCCCAATGCCTCCAACAGTCTCCTCCAAGACTTCAGCAGCCTTCCTCCCGAGCCCTGCACCCCAGCAGCAGCTCCGCTCGAAGTCTCTGCTCAGGAGCTCTGCACCCCAGCAGCAGCTCCGCTCGAATCTCTCTACTCAGCTCTTCCTTGGGCTTTTATGGTGGTCCAAGCACCCTCCACAACCACGTGTACGACCTACGCCTAGGTCTGACGCCGTCAAGAACAAAAGACCTCAGACGTGGCGTGGCTACAGACGTTTGCCAAGGCAAGGTGTGACCATATAATTGGATAAATTAGGTCTCTCCCCCCAGAGGACCTCAGAAGCCCAGCTGAACTACATCACATCTTGGTGATTCTCGATAAGCCACAACCAACACACTCTCTTCTTCCACATCTTTCGAGGAAGTAACAGCTGACCTGTGGTGCAGAAGCAACTGACGGTGCTACAGCAGCAGCTGATGACCATGGTTGGCAGCAGCAGCTGACCATGTGCAGCAGCGAGCTGACGCATGGTGCAGCAAGCAGCTGACGGTGCTACAGCAGCAGCCCAGCTGACGGTGCCTACAGCAGCAGCAGCAGACGGTGCTAACCAAGCAGCAGCCAGCAAGCTGAACGGTGCATACAGGGGGTGCAGCAAGCAGCTGACGGTGCTACAGCAGCAGCAGCGACGGTGCACAGCACAGCAGCAGCTGACGGTGCTACAGCACAGCAGCTGACGGTGCTACAGCAGCAGCGCAGCAGCTGACTGTGCTACAGCAGCAGCAGCAGCTGGACGGTGCTAACCAGCTGCAGCAGCGTGACGGTGCTTACAGCAGCAAGGCAGCTGACGGTGCACAGCAGCAGCAGCTGATGTTGCTACCAGCAGCAGCAGCAGATGGGCTACAGGGGGGGGGGCAGCACAGCAGCTGATGTGCTACAGCAGCAGCAGCTGATGGTTGTGCTACAGCAGCAGCCGCTGGGTGCAAACAGCACAGCAGCTGATTGGTGCTACAGCAGCAGCAGCTCGATGGTGCTACAGCAGCAGCAGCTGATGGTGCCTACAGCACAGCAGCTATGGAGCTAACAGCACAGCAGCTGATGGTGCCCTACACAGCAGGCAGCTGATTGAGGTGCAACAGCAGTACAGCGAGCTGTTGGTGCTACCAGCAGCAGAGCTGGATGTGCACAGCAGCAGCAGCTGATGGTGCTACTGCAGCAGCAGCAGCTTAATGGTGCTACAGCAGCAGCAGCAGCTGATGGGTGCTACAGCAGCAGCAGCTGATGTGCTACAGCAGCATGCAGCAGCAGCAGCAGCAGCTGAGGGTGCTATCTAGCAGCAGCAGCCAGCAGCTGAGGGTTGCTACAGCAGCAGCAGCAGCAGCTGAGGGTGCTACAGCACAGCAGCAAGCTGATGGTGCAGACAGCAGCAGCAGCACTGATGGTGCTTACAGCAACAGCAGCAGCTGATGGTGCTACAGCAACAGCAGCAGCTGAGTGGTGCAACAGCAACAGCAGCAGCTGATGGTGCTACTACAACAGCAGCAGCTGAGGTGCTACAAGCAACAGCAGCAGCTGATGGTCTACAGCAGCCGCAGCAGCTGATGGTGCTACAAGCATTCAGCAGCAGCTGTTGGTGCCTACAGCAGCAAGCAGCAGCAGCAGCAGCTGATGTTGCTACAGCAGCAGCAGCAGCGCGCTGATGGTGCTACAAGGCAGCAGCAGCAGCAGCTGATGTGCTACAGCAGCAGCAAGCAGCAGCTGATGGGGCTATACACAGCAGCAGCAAGCAGCAGCTGATGGTGCTACAAAAGCAGCAGGCAGCAGCAGCTGAGGTGCTACAGCAGCAGCAGCAGCTGATGGCGCTACAGCAGCACGCCAGCTGATGGCGCTACAAGAGCATCAGCAGCAGCAGATGCGCTAACAGCACAGCAAAGCAGCTGAATGGCGCTACACAAGCAGCAGCAGCAGCAGCAGCAGCTGATGGCGCTACAGCAGCACAGCTGAATGGGCGCTACAAGCAGCAGCTGATGGCCTACAGCAGAGCTTGAGGTGCTACAGCAGCAGCAGCAGCTGATGGTGCTACGCAGCAGCAGCACTGATGGTGCTAACAGCAGCAGCAGCAGCTGAATGTTGCTAACAGAAGCAGAGCAGCAGCTGAGGTGCTACAAGCATCAGAGCAGCTGATGGGTGCTGACAGAGCAGCAGCAGCTGATGGTGCTACAGCACAGCAGCAGCAGATGGTGCTACGCAGCAGGCAAGCAGCTGACTGTGTGCAGCAGCAGCTGATGGTGCTGCAGCAGCAGGCCCTGATGGTGCTGCAGCAGCAGCTGATGGTGCTAACAGTCAAGCATGGCAGCAGCTTGATGGGTGCTACAGCAGCAGCAGCAGCTGATGTGCTACGAGCATCAGCAGCATCTGACTGTGGTGCAGCAGCAGCTGATGGGTGCTACAGCATCAGCAGCAGTTGACTGTGGTGCCAACGGCAGCCGACGTGGTAACGATAGTATTTTAATAGTATTTCTCACACACCTTTTTAACCACAGGGTTGGCATAGAAGCTTTCTTTGGGCCGCATGGTGGCTTATTTACAGTTAAAGAAGCACTAAAACCACTGGAATAATACAAAATGTTCTTGAATGTGGCGTTGGAGGCGACCGCTCTGGCATATAAACATTGTTAACACAATGAAGGCAGGCCAGCTGAGGCAAACTCAGCGACAGACAACATGGGGACGCGTATAGACGAATGCTGTAGGTTGAGTTTTTCCCACCGTACGTCAGGGTCAAATTATATGCTGATAATGCATCATAAGGTCGGTTTTTTTAACGTAGGTTGCGGACATCATAACTTCGAGGGTCCACCTGTACACTCATTACCATGCCTTAAAATAATTTGTAGTCTTAATATAGGTAGAATGAGTAGTATTTATTTGTTAAGAAATGAAGTGTGGTATGTATGGTAGCCATCTAGCTACCATATCAGGCCACCTCACCCATAATAATAATTCATTACAATTCAGGAGCTTTCCAGAGCGATAAAAAGCATATACAGTTTTCACTCAATTACTTATCTTAAAATGTTTGGTAGTCTTAAATGTAGGGGTCAGTGGATAAACGAGAATAAAAACAATAGATGAGAGAGAGAGAAATGAGAGAGAGAGAATGAGAGAAGAGAGAGAGAGAGAGAATGAAGATTAGAAAGAGAGAGAAGAAAATGAGAGAAGAGAGAGAGAATGAGAGAGAAGAGAGAGAAGAGAAGAGAGAAAGAGAGAGAATGAGAGAGAGAGAAGAGAGAGAAAGAGAGAATGAGAGAGAGAATGAGAGAGAGAGAGAGAGAGAGAAATGAGAGAGAGAGAGAGAGGAGAGAATGAGAGAGAGAGAGAATGAGAGAGAGAGAGGAATGAGAGAGAGAGAGAATGATGATGAGAATGAGTACATGAGAAAGGACAGGCCCGGAGTTACTAAAACAAACCAGGTGTCATATATGCTAACGTCAGTGTAGCAGACGAGGGCATAGTCCACTGGTAGGGCGGATTCCCCAGTGAAGTAGGTCCACTTACATACATCCTCTAACTTATATATAGTGCCAGTGCTCCTTGCTTCTGCTTCAGAATATCCACGACTACGTGCCCTTCTGCACCTACTTCCTAGGTTGAGGGACTGATTACCTCGTCTTCGTGTATAAGTTTCTACTGTATTAAGTTTATGTCCCTGGAGTTATGTAATGAAAACGCCACAGGATGGTGACAAATTCTACAATAAAGATACCCAGATGTATGCACATGTCTTAATTTATCACATGTCGGTATTAATACCGATCTTTCTGCACACGACTTTCAATGCTTCACTGCTGAGTGGGCCATAAATATCTCTGTAATTGTTCCAGCTCTGATATTTCTCCTGGACTGAATGGACTGTACAAAACTAACAATATTTCCAGAATGATGGAGCACTGCAATTTGAAAAGTGCACCATTGGCATTATATCCCTTGTTTTGAAATTCTCATCACAAACCCCATCCCTCCTCCTGGCTGTCATATGACTTTTGACTTTTTGTGTTTCTTTGAAAGAAAGGCTAGCTGACAGTTATCCCAAGTCTTACATCATGTTCCTTTCATTCTGTTTGATGATTCTATTGAGTTTTTGTTATACAGTGTTCCTTTTGAGTTCATTATTTAGACACCTTAGCAATTGGGAACTTATTTTACCAGTGAATGTTATGTTCTTCTCTCCACTGGCTCACTGGAAAACACTGCTTATATCTTCCTGTAATTTTTTTCAGTGTCTTTTAGGTCATCTGTCAAATGAAATACAATTTCCTTTACCTTAAATATTGTCTGCTGGTGCTTGTTGATCTTGAAACAGAGTATAACCTTGCTGTGGCCCTACGGGAAAAGGGGGATATTACTGGTGTCTGCTGCTGCTGTTTTGAAAAGCTGTAGTTGTTGGGTAAAGATGATTATGACTTGTGTTTTGAAGTCCATTGCATACTTAAAACATCACCCTTTGAGGGTCAAGACCACTCGATCCTCAACTCTTTAAAACTCCCACATAGGGTGGAAAAAATATTCCGAAAAAAAAAAAAAAATTTTCTTACCAAAATCCTTAAGAATATTTTTTGTTGCGTTACTTGTTGTACATGCAACACAATACTTAGCACTAATATGTAATCAGTACTTTGTTTACAAAAACATGTTTATATACAACCAATGTAAACACACGGGTACAAACCGTTCACACTAATACTATAATGAATGTATTCAGCTGTGGAAAATCTTTGTGGAACTCCTGAAAACACTTCTGAATACATAGTGCTGTTTTAAACACATCTCTTCTCATACTTACTGAGTGCAGGCAAGAGAGATGCATCATAACTTACAACCTGGAAAATAGTGGAGGGACTGGTCCCTAATCGGCACACAGAAATCACTCTTTGAAAGGCAAAAGATACTTGCAGGCAATACAAGGATACCTCCAAATGAAAAGTGGGGGCAAACCATTAGTACCTAAGAGAAAAATACAATGCTATGCTGCCTCTCCTTACTATGAAGGAGTTCCATTCCTAAGACACATGTCGGTAAACGAGTACATCGCTAAGTTGAGAGGCTGTAATTGTCGCGCAGCCCAAACTGTTAAACAGCCTGCCTTCCCACCAGCCTAAGGGCAAATTACCAATAACACCCCTGGTTGTCTCAAGAGGGAGCTAGAACAGATACTAAAGTCAGTGCCGATCAGCCAGGCTGTGGTTCTAATGTTGGACTACATGCGGCCACATAACAGCCTAGGTTTGATCAGACCCTGATCCACGGTGGGAGGCCTGGTCATGTAGCGGGCTGCAGGAGCTTTGATCTCTCTGAATATCCTCCAAGTAGACAT